CCTAAATGAGGGAAGGATAAAGCAAAGAAAGAGAACTACAGACCAATATTATCAAAACATATTGATTCCAAATCTTAAAATAAAATCTTAGCAAACCAGTATAGCAATTTATCAAAGATATCATTTCGTATGATCATGATAGATTTATACCAAGGATATTGTTAAATAATAGAAAACAATTAACATAACGGTATTATAATATATCTAGAAGGACTGATGAATAAGGAATTGCTGAGCCAGAGCCGAATGTGCATTACGAGGGGGCTACTTGCGAACTCTGAGTCGTCCGCTGAGTCATGTTGGGGGAGGTGCCTTTTCTCCTACCTAGCTGAACGTCATGACCACAAGGCCACCTCCTTCTTTTGCGTTTCTTCTTTTTTGACCTTAGGTAAATGAGTATTCTGAGATGGGTGTGTCCAGTGAGCACCATTTTATGAGCTCAGGAGAGTCGGGCCCCACCAGCAACAAGAGTCAACTGAAGACCTGCTCAGATGAGTGGGAGCTGGGGAAGCAGCCCAGGAGGGGGTGCTACAATATGAAAAATAAAAACGTTGAAAACCACATGATTACACCAGCAGATGCGGAATAAGTTTTAAACAATATCCCTTTATCCTAAAAACACTATAAGGCAAAATCATAGAAGAATCCTTTTTTAATACACTAGAATATATCTACAAAAACTAAAAGCTGGTGTTATGTGCAATGGGGAAATACTAGAAGCTTTATCAGTAAATATAGGGGTAAGTAAGGATGCCAAATTTCCCTGTTGTTATTTCAGAAAATCTTAGAATTGTTAAGAGTAATAAGACAAGGGCAGCTAGGTGGCACAGTGGATAGAGCACTGGCCCTGAAGTCAGGAGGACCTGAGTTCAAATCCGACCTCAGACCAAACACTTGACACTTACTAGCTGTGTGACCCTGGGCAAGTTACTTAACCCCAACTGCCTATAAAAAAGAGTAATAAGACAAAAGGAAAATATTAAAAGCATAAAGATAAGCAAAGAGAAGACAAAGTTATTTCTATTTGATGATCACAAGATAGTTACTTAGAAAATCTTATGGAATCAGCGAAGAAGCTCATTGAGACAACAGCTCCTTTAGAGTTTCAGACTACAAAATAAATCCAAAAAAATCAATAGCATTTATTTGTAGTAATAACAAAATTCAGAAGGCAATAATAGAAAGTAAAATCCTATTAAAAATAATTAGAAGATACTTAAAATATCTGGGAGTCGATCTACTAAACCATACTCAAGACCAATATAGATACAAGTAGAAATAAAGAACTAAAGAACTTAAACAGCTGGAAGGATATTCAGTGGTCATGGGTAGACTATATCAACATAATAATAATGACAATATCACTAATGTTAATTTTTAGATTCAGTGGATACCAATCAACCTAATAAAGGGATACTTTACAACATAAGAGAAATAATATCAAAATGTATTTTGAAGAACAAAAGTCTGGATTCTTCCTCCATCAGTAGGATTAGTTTGTAAGCTTGCCTTTCTGTAAGAGATCTCCTTAGCTACTGAAATAATGAAAAAAAAAAGGTGAGAATGAAGAGAAAATGGTATTTCCATACATCAAACTATATTATAAAGCCATAATCATCAAAATTATTTTATAGTAATTAAAAAGTAGAAAAGTAGATCAATGAAATGGACTAGTAAGGAAGAACCAGAAATAAGTGAACTTATGTCACCTAGACGTAAACAAAGCTGAAAACATAAATTATGTAGGAAAGAATTTTTGATAAAAACTGTTGGAAAAATCTGGCAGCAATTTGGCAGAAATTAGGTTTAGACCAACATTCTCTATCATATTCCACAACAAATTCAAAATGGATGTGACCATCAATATTAAAGATCATACAATAAAACATTAGAAAAGAAATAAATTATATACCTTTCACAGTTGGAGTTCAATTCTTAATCAAACAACAGATATAAGCAATTAAGATAAAATACATAGTTTCGATTAAATGAAATTGAAAAGCTTCTTTATTCTTTATTACAGGTAGAGTAGGTAGTGAAATTTAAGTGTTGCTGTGAAGACACTCCCTTTGGAATGCATCCAGATTTTGCCACTTACCTTACAGGATGCTGGTAATTCTTCCATTCAAGATTCATTCATTCCTTTGGGTGTGAGGCATTACTTTTCCTAATTACCCCCTTTTAAAAATGAAAATACCTCTGGAAAGGGTAGCACAGAAAAATGTTTTCATTTATACCTTTGTGTGAATTAAATTTATCAGATTGATTTCTTCTGTGACTTTTGAGATCAGGAAACAAAGAATAGAAGTTGGGTCATGGGAGAAGAGGGACTTATAAGTCTTATCCAATAAGACTTATCCAACTAGGGCAAGAAAGTAGCTAAAAGTAGTTGTGATCTCATTAACTCCCTTCAATCTAGTTAATATTTTTTATGCTGATGACTTTCAAATCTATCTATTCTGCTCCAAATTCTCTATTGATCTCTCATCTTGTATATCTAACTGTTTTTCAGACATCTCCAACTGGATGTTCAATAGACATCCTAAACTCTAAATGTCTGAAATAGAATTCATTATCTTTCCCTAAAAACTCTCTCCACCTCCTATCTTTCCTATATCTGCAGAGGGCAACACCTTCCTTCTAGTCCCTCAGGCTCACAAGTTAGGTGTCATCTTCAACTCTCAGTATCTCTCATCACCCATATCTAATCTGTTGCCAATGTCTATTGATTTTACCTTTGCAACATCTCTTGAATACCCTCCTCTTTCCCCCACCTTTTCTCCCCTGATATGGCCACCCCTCTTGTCCAGACCCTTATCACCTCATGCCTGGACTATTTCAATAGATTGCTGGTGGGTCTACCTGCCTTTCCCCACTCCTCCCTCTATTCAGCCACCAATGTGATCTTAAAGCCCAAGATGACTGGATAGAAAATGAATGAAGGGGAATAATATGAACCAAGATTTGGTAGGTATAGGAGCACTAGACTGTGGATGGTTTCAAATTCCAGGATAACAATTTTATACTTTATTCTAGAGGAAATAGGAGGCATTAAGGATTTTTGAGTCATCACCCTTAATAGATTTTAAGCTCCTAGAGGGCAGGACACTATCTGATTTATGCCTGTAATGTTTACTCAAGGCATGCACTTCATCTTAGAGTTAGCTCTATATGGATTATAAAGCTTTATCTTTATAAAGGTTGCCTAAAAGTCTATAAAATTGCTCAAACTCAATTCAGTTGTCACCTCCTCTTTGTTAAACCTTCTTTAGCATTTGAACTCTAAAGTTAAACTCTCCTCTACTTAAATATTCCTATAGCATTTGGTCCAGATATTCCCTTTTCCTCTGTCACACTATACTTTGTATTATAATTACCAGAGAACATCTCATATCCCTCTTTCCCAGAAGAATAAAAACCCCTTGAGGGCAAAGGCTATGTTAATTTATATCTTGGTATCCACTGCACCAAGCATGATGCTTTGCATATACTGGAACCTAATAAATATTTACTGACCTGAATCAAAAAAACTAAACATTCTATTCATGGTAATAAATTTTAACTGTGAGGATTTCCATCAACTTTTAATGAAAAAATATTGTTGTCTAGGCAGTTTGCAGCTAGTAAAAGAAGTACTTAAAGAAAGTCCCTCACAGATATTTTAAAACAAGAAATGTGTTTATAATGGTATAACAAACTTCTTTTTCCACTGCAGGCATAATGCTTCTAGGCGTACTTTTAAAAGCCTAAAGTGGACTTAGTGTAGCATTTCATATTCCAAATAGAAGGAAAACATATTTACCAGGTAAAAGTAATGCATAATTCTGGTATGAAAAATTATCAGACTAACTGTTCTTACCACACACACACACACACACACACACACACACACACACAATTTGTCAGGTTGATTTCCTCTGTGACTTTTGAGATCAGGAAACAAAGAATAGAAGTTGGGTCATGGGAGAAGAGGGAGATACAATTTTGAATTATGGGATACTATCTGGAAATACATATATATATACACATACATATACTTCTAAGGATAAAGTTTATATAGATGTGGAGACAAATGACATTTCTTCAACTTTTCAGAGGACAAGAAGATAGTCTAAAAGCAATATAGGGATTGTGAGGTTGTATCAATTTTGTGTCATTTACAAGTTAGTTGTATCAATTACAATAATCCATTTTTTAAGTTAAAAGTATTTTACAAATAGCTGAGGAATGACAATTTATTTGGAAAAGTTCTTCTCCAATAGATATACAATTTTATTAAGATTTTCTATCCCATTTAGAAGAAGTAAAGTCTTTTTATAGTTATATGGATAATCAAACTTTATATTAAAGGCCATAATTCTTTAAAATTTATGAGAGACATGAAAAACCCAAATAATCCTAGAATCCATCTGGCCCTAGGCAAAGCTGTAAGGTTGGCAGTTTGTCTTTGGCACTCCTAAAATTCACCTTCTGTACTTTTCAAACCCTTTAAGAACACAATGTTCTCAGACCTTTCATGCAGTCTTCAATATCTTTAGGAAGGTTCCTAGAGCCCTCATGCTGACTCCTATGGCATTTCAATCAGTCTTTTTCTTCCCAAGTTGTATCCCATCATTCAAAATTATATCTCCCTCTTCTCCCATGACCCAACTTCTATTCTTTGTTTCCTGATCTCAAAAGTCACAGAAGAAATCAATCTGATAAATTTAATTCACACAAAGGTATAAATGAAAACATTTTTCTGTGCTACCCTTTCCAGAGGTATTTTCATTTTTAAAAGGGGGTAATTAGGAAAAGTAATGCCTCACACCCAAAGGAATGAATGAATCTTGAATGGAAGAATTACCAGCATCCTGTAAGGTAAGTGGCAAAATCTGGATGCATTCCAAAGGGAGTGTCTTCACAGCAACACTTAAATTTCACTACCTACTCTACCTGTAAGATCATCTGTGAAGAGAAATATCTGAATTAAGCAAGCAAAAGAAAAGGAGAGCCCAAACCTTAACAAATGTGATGAACTCTTCTTCTCGGTCATTGGCTCGCATTAGTTTTACTCGCACCATTTCAAAAGCCCGTTCACTTTGCAAAGCTAATCCATGGAGCTGCTGGGAAGCAGTTGCTTCAAGTTCTGACATAGCAGATTTTGTCTCATTCATTTTACTTAATAGGTGAGCAAGCTTGTGCTCCTATAAAAATAACATTAAATATTCATTATGATTTCTAGTAATTATAGTACGACAAATTTTACTAAATATATTTAGTGGAATGTATGCAGGACAAAGTAAACAAAGCTGTATTTGTGATGTACTTGTTTTCCTTTGTTTTAAGATAAATCTTCTGGTTTGTTAATTTTTTCCTCATTCTAAATTATATTGTTTCCCTTACTCACATATTGTTATGCGTTTGTTGCCAAGTAGAAGAAAAGTTATTTCAAACCAAAAAGTCTCAAGTCAATTAAAATTATATAATATGTTTACAATTTCAGGGCAATTGATGGATTCCAAATATCCATATCATGATTTCTCCTCAAAATTAATTTAAGATTTTTGTATTAGGACAAATATAAATGTTTGCCTTTTCTTATACAGCATTCCCATTAGAGGAAAACAAAATAAACCAAAACAAAGCTTATTTGCTGGGACATAAAGGAATACAAAAAAATTGAGATAATGGCAAATATTTGCTTCAGATTATAAAGAGATGAAAAGCTAAAAAGGAGGACACTGCATCACATCAACTCCCAAACAGGAATATCCGACAATCATACACACCTTTCTTTCCAGCTCATCTTTAGTTTTTATACACATCTGTTCATAATGTGACTTCTCTTTTGTGACTACATTAAGCATTTGCTTGAGAGCAACAATTGCTGTCTTCTTGTTAGTACAGTCTTCAGTCAATGCTTTTACCTGAAGTAAAACAAGGGGTTGTGGTGGAATTATATGGCAAAACAATTTGTATCAGAACCAAACTGAAGCATAAATGATTTAAATTTTCTTTATTCAAAAGTGATATCCAAATTCAAATACTAGTAGAACTTGTTAATATTTCTATGGTGAAATAATAGAAGTAATTCTAAAATGAATATCCCACGTGAGTTTACAGAAAAGCATAAATATGGTACCAGAAGACATATGAATAAAACCACTAATTTTATTTGTTGGATTATTCAGTTTTTTCCCCATGAATGGATCAACATAAATACCAAATCTCAAAATTCAACATACTTTATTTACGAATATTTGTTCTAAAAATAGGAATTTTCTAGTATATAAACAAACACAATTATTGTAAATTCTTAGTTTTCACATATAGCAAGAATAATTTAGGATGAAATTAGGTGTGAAATAGTTGCCATAGCTCATTCAGTACTGAAGGAAGATTACAATGAATGAACTGTTTAAAATAAAAAATGTGATTCTAAGATATTTAATGACGAATACTAAAAACAACCATAGGAAATATCTTTTTTTATTGGAAGTGAATTTGTCCTGCTTTTTCAGACTTTATTCCTTCTTCCTTTTGAACTGAAAATAACATAATGATATCTTAGCTCTGGCAAGGAGGATGAAAGAGGAACTCTTTCTGGGGTTGATGACAATTAAGGATTGCCATAGTGCAGGCTAGCTTATCAATTGTTCAGCCAGCTCTTTTTTCTAAGGGAATCACAGCTTCTCTGAGTTGACAGAATACTTATTTCAATTTTGGGGATGAGATGTTATATATATCTAGAAGGAAGCGTTCCCTACTCTCACTTTCACAAAGTCTATCTGCACATTAAATCAAAGGACAGAGCAGAAGATATGCTGGTTAATTGACTTGCAACTTCTATGATTTGTTAATAATTTTAAAATATATTCATAGTCTTATATTGTAGCATTAAATATAACAAAATACTGAATAAAAAGTATGGATCATAATTTTATTAAAGCTAAGTTCAATTATATATTCGCAGACTATTTTTAGGATGGACAGAAAGAGACTAGCTGTCTTTTGTTAATCTGCATAACATAAAATCAACTTACAGATAACTGACAACTTTTTTGTTCTTTTTAAAATTTAATGATGAGACACCTGGTGTATTCCTATTAATCTACATATTAAAGTTCTAAAACTGGACATCTATCAGTTTGCAAAGCAAATAATGGTGTGTTACATAATAAGTTCTAACCTGATACGAATGTTTATATAAATCCACTAGGATTACTAAAAGAATTAGTGCAATGTGAATGGTAAAATTAAATCACTTCTGTTTATAAAAAATATTTTTACAATTTAGAGACCAAAAAATAAATGGTACCTTTTTCTCAAGATTTTCTAACAAATCATTAAAGTTGTCATTATTTTCCAAGTTAACTTTCTGTCGATGCTTAAAGTGCTCTATCAAATGTCTCTTCATGACTAAATCCCTCTCCATTCGAGACACTCTTAAAAGAAAGGAAAACATCACACTTATAATAATGGGAAATATTTTTAAAGAGAGAATATTTTTCATAAGACAGAAATTCTGCTCAAACGTTATTGATCAAGTTGGCTATACTAGATTACATGTTTGTTTTATGTATATTATTAACCATTAAACTGTTATATTCTATTGATATGCTTTTGAATTATATATTATACCTATTTTGAAACTATAGTTATAGCATGACAGTTATAATTAATATGTGTGTGCTAGTAAAATATGCCACAACTTCTAAATGTTAGAGAAATTGGAAAAATAATTTATACTGCCATTTAATATTTACTAGATTTAGGTTATATTATCATAATATTATTAAAATATGGCATTATTGAGAATTAATCAAAAGAAGTTATAATACTAGGATATATACTTTAGTTATAAATTTTATACCATGTTTTATAAATACCACATAAATAAGCATAGCTGCATTAAAATAATTTCTTTCCACATGATTTATAACTGTGTTAATATATAAGTGGATCTGTTTGCTAGAAAGTTAAGTTTTTAAAAGCTATTAAGATAATTTTATAAATTATTCTAATAATTAGCCCAAAATTATTAAATGGTTAAACTTTTTTAAGCTATAAATCTATCCTTTATCTGATGGGTTTTATCTGTTAATGTCAGCTGTCCAAGATATAGGATTGTAACATGAGCAAATATTTTTCTATTTATAAGTAACAGGCTAGAATTAATTAGACCCATCAAAAAAAGTCATTAAATTTAATCCTAAAATACCTTAAGGTGAAAAACATTATATAATCATTTTTGACGGCTGGAAAAAAAAACTAGTTTTTACAGGCTAGTATAGAAAACAGAGTTTTTAAAACCTTCAAGTCATTCAAATGTAAAGAAAAAAAATTCATTTTGTCATCCTAGCAACCATAAATCTGGGTATTTTTTGCCAGTTTAAATATTTTTAAAATTGACAAATTTAATAGCCCCTAAAGAAAGAATTACAGTGTTTGCAATATTCCTTTGAGTATTATTGAGGAAGTTATTTAGAGACAATTCAAGAAAAAAAATCAGTTCACCTTAGTGTCTGAAAACTTTTAATATTCTCACTGTAATTTAGAAATTGTAGCTAGTTAGTTCTTAATCACTATATAAGGAACCTGAGCTCAGATTATAAATAAGTGATATTCCTTACATAATCTCAACATTTATCTTAGGGCAGAAAAAGTAGAGATCATTAACAAGAATTCACAGCACCATTATCTAGACTTGAAATGGTTGACAGTTCAATCAATTAAACTACCACTGGGTGGCACCAAATACAATGAATAGATCCACCAAGAACATACTTTCCTTGAAATTCCAGTATCTGTTCTTCCTTTTCCTTTACTTCACATTTTAGAAACTTTATATTTGATGACTGTTTAGTCATTTCATTTGTTGTATTCTAGGTTAAAAATACACACAAAATCAAAAACAACATTTACTCCTCAACAGTTGGTGATATTTCAAGTAAATGATACCAATGACTTCAGAAATTACAAAGCAGTACTTACATAGCAGAAATGACCATTCTAAGAATAGTACAGAAAAGTAACTAATGTACATCAGATATAGATTTAATTAAAATAAATGTTACATATTATGTTAACATAATATATTTCAAATTTTGCTTTTGAAATTAAATAAATTAAAATAATGCAACTAAAATGTTTAAAATCATATCAAAACACTACAGAAGGGATAGCCATTAACAGAAGGGTAAAGTGCTCTCAAGTAATTCAAATATGAAGAGATAGAGCAAAATGCATTTCTATGTGGTGTGTACAACTCAAAACAACAGGCTTGGTAGCAAGCTGGTATAATATAGTTACTTGAACTTGACACTGCAGTTAATAACTTTACGAGTCTATTCTCTTCTTTATCTGAAATATTATCACTTAGCGATAAAGATTAATAAGATTGGGAAGTAACAGAAAGTGAAATAATCTCACATACATGATTATTTTTTAAAGCAGTATGGATTTCAAACTTTCAATATATCTGTGCAGCATATAAGAGGACTGAGAAATGGATGAGGAGTTAGAACATATGACATAACTCTGGCTCAAATACTGATTAAATGTAATGATCTTCATTAACTTCTCAACTTCTCTGTATTTCAATTTTTCTATCTATAAAATGGGATGAATATTTCAGTTTCTATCTAATTCACTTGTCATATAGCTATTAAAGTAAAAAAAGTCCTGGTATACTAAGCAGAATCAAAAATATAAAATTAATCAATCTATATATATTTATTTTTTTTGCCAAGCATTCTGCTAAGCGTTGGGGATACAAGTACAAAGAATAAAACAAATCCTACTGTAATGGATTCATATTCTAATATGAGTTTATTTATGTTTTAATAAAGTTCTATGAATAATGAGTAGAGGCATTTTACTAAATGTTCTTTATTGATACTCATATATGAATAATACATTTTGTATTTAATTTTGAAAAGGAAACTGTCATGAAAATACTAATAATTTTTTATTCCAAAACACAATGGAACTTTCAATTTCTAAGAAGAGTTATAATATTATACTGTTTGAAGGCTGGACAATTTTATCTAAGGTTAAAAAATGAAAACTAGGGAAGTCATAGTAAACAGCTAAGAGAAAATCAATTGCAAGGCAATTTCTAATAGAAATTTCTTTTTTTAAAAGATTAAGGTAGCAGTACATATTAATACATCTTTTGAAAGTTATAACTTTTCATAAGAAATGTGAGAACTGTCAACTTGTTAATTGTCTTGATGGTTTTGAACTGGTCAGATGACCATGCATAAAATAATTATAATAAGTTTATTTTACTTGTGCACATGCAGACAGCCTAAATTAAAACACATTTTAACATGCTTGCAGTAACGCCTCATTAATTCTGCATTGTTAGGGTATTGAATGTCCTTTTAAAAATGAATTTTTCAGTGAATGAACAGAAAGTTTATAATAATCCTTAAATTAAGTTTGTACCTACAAAGCATTCCACATTTTTCTGTCCTCTTAAACTAATAAAAAGAAGTTATTTTTGATGTTTCATAGTTATTAATGATGAAGAGAACATAAATTTGTTGAATTACAGAGTGATTTGTGATTTCATATACAAATCTCTTTTCTCTGTACTTTTTATAAAAATATTTGTTGATGTTTGTTATGTTCAAAAGAAAAAAGGAAATTAAAAGAATCATCATGTTTCATTATATGTGTGCCTATATGGTAATAAGCAAGTTTTAAAGCAAAAAGAGTGACTCTTGAGAACTCAAAAGGTCAAATAATCACAACAAAAAAGGGAGTTTTCCTAATAGGCCAAACTTTACAAAAATAAATACAATAAGTATAGGTTCATAGGAGTAGAGATGCTGTAGATATTATAAGTCATATAGTTCAGTTCTTTCATAGAGTGGGAAACTGAGGCCCAGAGAAGTTCAGTGAGCTTACCAAAGTCACTTAAGTATAGAGTGGCATTGCTCAGATTCTCTGACTCCAAATGTTAGCACTTTTTCCACATGTTTTAAGTGATGCATAAGAATAATAGGTTCATTACGAAAAATTAAAAATTCATTGAAAGTTTTGTATCTGGCTAAATGTATTTATATATTCTGGCAAACTATATCTACGATATGATGGAAATGGAGTGATAGAAAAATGTATTTTCTGTATTTCAAAACAGCTTATTGAACCAAGGACATCCAAGACACAAAAAAAACCAGCATAGAATGACAGCTAGAACTATGAAACTGAATATTACTTAAGAAATAAAATAAAACATTTTAAAATGTTCAAATAATCCAAATATCTCCACTTGGCTCTCGCAAAAAAAAAAGCTATTTTAAAATTCAACTTTAATATTCACTTGTTTTGAAAAAAATTGTTAGCATTTTTATATCTATGCAGAAATCCTCTTTAATGCCTCAACATAGCATGGAGGATGGGGGTGAAATGAATTATCACCAAACGAATGGCCACTAGGTCCAGAATTTTTAAGGTCATAGCAACATAGTAAGCCTTTTAGACATAGGAGTGCATCTGTACCAAAGAAATGATGGATTTTGGGAATAAAAGAAGTAGTATGAACATGTATATGTATCAGAACATGTGAATTTACATTAGCATAAAATGTACTTTTGTACATTTTCAATTTAATTAATGAAATTAATTGAACTGAAATAATATTCTAGGAGTCTTTCAAATAATAAAGCTGCACTATGAAAATCTGGCTCACATCTTTTTTTCCTTCTTTTCCCCCACTTCATGTTGGATATGACAGTAGATATGACACTTCTAACTGAGGCAAAGCATCACTCAAAGCAGGGGAGAAGGGAAGGAATTGTACTTCCTCTTTACTTTTTCTGTCTTCTTAGCTTGCACCTTCACCAAGGCAAAGGACACAATTACAAATATGAATTTAAAAACAAGATTTGCTCTAGATCCTCTGCTCTTCTCTCTACTCTGGAGCTCTCTGCATCTCTGCCTCTGCCTCTACCTCTGTCTTGCTCTGTCACTGTCTCTCTCTGTCTCATTCTGCCTCTGTCTCTTTCTTTGTCTATGTGTGTGTGGAGGGGTGTGTGTGTGTGTGTGTGTGTGTGTGTGTGTGTCTCTCTCTCTCTCTCTCTCTCTGAACTCATCAACTTCCACTGATTCACCTATCATTTCTATAAAGGTGGTCCCCAAATCTGCATATTCAAAGTTGTGTCTCCTGAGTTCCAGAATTACATCCCCAACTACCTGCAAGATTTTTCCACCTGGATTTCCCACAGAAAATCTCAAACTCAACTCGTCCAAAACAAAATTCATTATTTTTCCCCTAAACTTACCCCTCCTCCTAATTTGCTTATTTTTATCAAATTTACTAGCAACCTTATATATACATATATATATGTGTGTGTGTGTGTGTGTGTGTGTGTGTATGTATATATGTATATACATATATACATATATTTCAATATACCTAGGTCCATAACCTAAATTATCCTCACCTCTTCACTCTCCCTCGCCCTACAAATCCAATCTAAGTTTTATATAATGAATATGTCTATAATGTTTTGAAATCAACAAGCACTTACAAGTATTTGCTATGCACCAGGCACTGTGCTAATAGCTGGGGATACAAAGTAAGGGAAAAAATACTTTGCCCTCTCAAGAAACTCACATTCTAATTGAGACTCCATTTAACAGGTCCAGCACAAAAGATTAACCTTGACCCACAACACCCTGAGCCAACCAAATCATCTCCAGTTTCTGAGATTATAAATGTCTTTAATCTCTTCAACAAAGTACCAATGGACACATCCACATCCATCACAGGAAAATACAAAATCCTTAACAAAGGACCATCTCCCTACAAACTTATAAAGTTAATCACACTATTTCATAACAATAGTGTTCAACCAGGTTCTCCTCTCAAATTCTGCAGAGTTTATATTCTAAACCTTCATTGGCCTTGTTTGCCACATCTCTACGTGGCAAAATGATCAAGTGTTTACTTATTAAGGAAGTTTTAGGTTATTTAGATTTTTCTACTGTGGTCATTGTTTTATTTAGGGAAGGATACAGATATTTTAATTGTACCCTGACTCCACCAGTAACTATTCATTCTCCTATCTAAAAAAGTTAATTTCATTTTTGTTTGTGATGTTAGTGCTCATGAGGTCCAGCACATTCCAATTCTCTTCTTTCATAATATACAGGCATGAGGTTTCTGTGTGTGATCTATGATCTCTAAGAGTTTCTTTATCATCATCTTTCCCTGTGACTACTATGGCATTGAAGTAATTGTGAATTAATTAATCTTTTTAACCAGCTTGGAGTTATCAAATTCTTCACAGAATTTCTCCACATCATCATCCTCTGCAAAGGATGGCAGTACAAATACTGCAATGAATTTCATTGTGATCATTTTGCTTATGTTATCATAAGCATTGCAATAAGAGATGACCTATCAAATATTCCATTAAATAATGTTCTTGGTTGCATTTGGACACAAGATGAAACCAATTTGACCAATTGTTTTATTTGCTTCTCTGAGAAGAACCTATAAGCCATTCTTCCATTTAGGTATAATGTATTTTGTATCCTAATGTATTTTGGTTTTATTTATGGCAAGCATTTCAGTAGTGATATGATTCAGTTGATCCAGTAGTATATTGATTGATATTATCTAAGGACTTAATATCTAGGGTATCAACAGCTAAATTAATATTTGTAGAAAGTCTAAAAAATAGGTGATTCTTAACATCCTCTGCTCCTTTTTCTGCCTCTGTGCTACTGCTGCTTTAGAAACATATGGTCCAGAGGGCTATTTTATTTCTTTATTTATTTTGTTTCACTGATTGCCATGGCCAAAGAATTCATTAACCACTACCCAGCCTATCAGTGATAATACTGGCTATTGCCATAAAGCCCTCCCACCTTCTTCTGGAAGGCAGAATCTTTCAGAGGTTGTAGTCTTATGGCATAGCCTTTAATAACTCAGTACCACTTCCCTACCACAATGAAGCAACCAGAGTAAGAACCATGCTTTAAATTATTTTGCAATAATCACCAAGGAATGTTGTCTAGGAAAGTGGCCTTGGAGACAAGGGTTTTGTTTTGGTTTTTGGCCTCAGGACAATCTGAACTCGTACCATGTTGGACTGACTGTATAACCCTGAACTAGTCACCTAAGCTCTCAAGTTGCTACTAGTATGACTAGAAGGTACAGAACCATTGGTGATATGCATTGGTAAAAGTTTTCTTAGCAGAAATTTTCTATATCAGTGAAATACAGGTCTATATATATATATGTAATATAATATAAATATTTTTTATTTATTTTTAGTTTTCAACATTCATTTCCATACTTTTTTTCTTTTTAGGCAATTGGGGTTAAGTGACACGCCCAGGGTCACACAGCCAGTAAGTGTCAAGTGTCTGGTCTGAGGCCGGATTTGAACTCAGGTCCTCCTGACTCCAGAGCTAGTATTCTATCCACTGTGCCACCTAGCTGCCCTGCCTAATTCCATATTTTTTAAAAAATATCTTTACTTGTATAGGTAAATGATACAGTAAGTAAAATTTAGCATGACATTTTTAATTAAAATTTTACTGAGTAGATTAGAAGTAACTAGATGAGATTTTTTTTTATTCTGTTGTAATATAGAGCTATGGCAGGTTTCCTATTTATAAAAAGGACTAATAATAAACTTAATACTTTCCATAGAAGACAGTAAAGATTAATTTAGCAAATTATGCAAATTTTTCTGTAACCTTAAATTGCCATAAATACTCAAATTTGAGAAGAAAAATGGAAGTTAGCAAAATCTAGATTAAAACTTACACTCCACCTCCCAAGTCCACGCATTTTTACTGGCAGCTTCTCCCCTGCCTGGAATTCCCTCATTCCTCGTACCTGACTTCCTTCAGGTGCCAGACAAATCCCACCTACAAAAAGCCTTTCCTGATGCCCCTTACCTTCTAAAATTATCTCCAATATATTATGTCTATATCTTAGCTATACATAGGTGTTTTCATTTTGTCTTCCCAATTAAACTGTGAGATCCTTGAAAGCAAAGATTTTTTTTTAATCCTTTCACTCAGAGCTTAAAACAGTGTCTGACACTTAAAAGAAGCTTAATAAAGGCTCATTGTTGAATTGACTTCTGGTAGACATGGTCAGAGTATCTCAGTAATTTGATCTAAGGTTATTTAAACCTTATTCTCACAATAATGTTAAAATAACTTATTTCTTAAAATCGATAACATTTAAATGGCTCAAAAAGTTTTTAAAAATCTGAATATACCTACAAAATCTGAAATATTGAAAAAGATTCATGCATAAGAAGACAATCTTCTCTTTTGAAATCTCTTTCTTACCTTAAACATAACAGAATTAAAGTTCTTCATTAAATGTACTTAGCTCCTATAGTGATTCTCACGTTAAAATATCATTGTGAGAACATACTCAATATGCTACACTCAAAATATTATCAGTCTTTTCAATACTTCATTTCCTCTGAACAGTTACATGTACTCCATTCCTAACTCCTATGTATTCCTAGCTGAAGCTTTCTTCTGGTTATTTCTACTGCCACCATCTTTGCACACGTCTGGCTAGCAACTCTCAAGGACGGAAATAAGTTCTAAGTGAGACACAATTCAGAAACAACAGTATTACTAAGTTCTTGCAAATCATTTCCCAATTTAAAAAAAAAAGAAACCTACAGTCTTATTTTCTACTGCAATATATTCTCAAATGTCTTTTTTTATATTACAAATCGGCTTTCAAGTTGTTGAGATTTTTATCTACCCTGGTTAATTACTTGGTAGGTATTATGGTCATCTCTCTTTATTTTTATTCTCATATACTTGTAGTCAAAAAATTGCCTCTTAAATAGAAAGAGTTTTTAAGCTAAAACACCTGAATTCCTTCTATTTCACACACACTCACACACACACACACACACACACACACACACACACACACCCCGCCATATGGGGGTATATACATATAAATACCAAAATACCCAAATACATCATATCTCTCCATACACATACATATACATATAACACATATGAATGTGTATGTTAGGATGAGATGTAAGGAATTTAGATGTTTTGGTTTAAAAACCCCTCCTTTTAAAAAGGCTTCTTTTTACAATTCTTTGTAAGTCAATCCTTGCATTTTCTCCAAAACTAACTCTTTTAATTATCAGTATCAGAGTAGAGCAGGTTAGAATGGAATAATAAAACGGGATGAGGAAAATGGTAGATTTTCCATCTCCTGAGTCAGGGTTTCTGTGGTTTTGGTCAGTTTGTTCAAAACTGAGTATTGTCAGTGACTAAACACTACCTTTACATAGACATATATTTGTATGCTAGCCAGAAACCCATATACTTGATAATCTTGACTTATATTCATTTTGTATGCACCATGTATATGAAAAGGGATAAGGACTGGAACTGTGATTTCACTGGTACAGGTTCGAACTCCCTGGTGAGGAAATGACCTATACCAGTGGAGGTTGGCACCTCTTTGTGGCTTATAGCTTTAGACAGCTGCCTAAAGCATTTAAAGGTTAAATGAGTCACCCAGGAGCACACAGCCAGTATGTGTCAGAGATGGGACTTAAATTCAGGTCCTGGCTGTGAGACTAGCTTTTTATCTACTATACCAAACGGCCTTGATATGATGCATATTTTTATATAAATACATGTTTTTCCCTCCTTTTAGAATCTAAGCTCTTCCTGAATAGGGGCTATTTAATTTTTGTTTTTGTATCCCCAGCACTTAGCACTGTGCCTGGTATATAGTAAGCATTTAATTAATGATTGTGGATTGATTAACACATAATTAAAATCTACGTACAAGCACTCATTCCAAATTTCAACAGACAATTAAAAAAATTTTGTATTATGCATATCTTGCCTTTCTACCATTAGCATGATTATCTGGAGTTGAGGTGACTAGAAAAATACATTTAAGAAGTCACTTATTAAATAATTATTATTAAATTTCTAATAAGTCTGAATTCTTAATCATTTGTAGACTCACCTTTAATTTACACTGCAGCTGTTTAATTTCTGCCTGCATATTCTTTGAAGGAGACTCTATTGCAGATTTAGCTTCATTTGCAGCCTCCAATTTCTTTTGTAAATCTTCTTTCTCTTTGCGAAGTTCAACCAAGTCTGAATTTAGCTTCTATTTTTCCCAGGAAAGAAAAAAAAAGTGTAACCATATGTTAAAAGCAATTCTACTGACTTTTATAAGAAGATTTTAGAAATAAATAGACCTAATATTATCATTACTCATGTTTGACATCTATCCAATTGAAATTCATGATGAATAATGTAATTTTCAAATTAAAAGTAAAATCAAAAATTTAATTTTATTTTCTATGAATGAAATATGCTAGTTATAAAAATTTAAAAGTTTCAAAACACTACCTTCTGTAAGAGAGATTTGTATACACATACAAATACAGACACTAAGTGGTCTTAGATATAATATATGAAAATGGCAGGAAATATATTGTTTCTATGTTTTGCATAGTACCTAAAATACTGGGCCTTCTCAATAAATATTAATTAAAAAACAGTGGTACAGTCAAACTATGAATATAGACAACAATTATAATTCAAGTACTACAACCTCTATTGACTTTTACTTTAAGTTTGTAGGGCTTATAAAGGTTAAAATAAAACAAAATGCACCAGCTCTATTAAATATCTTCTGGTTAGCTAGGCTTTACTTGTATTGTGCTACTTCTTCTCTTCCACATAAATGCATGCTAGCCAGAGACCCACATTTTTGATAACCTTGACTCTAGGGCTGATGTACTTAACTGGTAAAAGCCAAGCTGGAGCAGGACAGGATAACAGATGTTATTTGTTTATTCCACTGGGTAGTTCTTACCACCCTATACAGCAGCCAAAATGCTTCTCATTTAGCAACATAAATGTTAAGTCCAATTAGCAGACGAGCCTTGTTAGGGATTTAGTTCAAGTAAATAGCATGCAAACAAACTATCTTGGTTTTTATTGTATTTGATTGACAGCTGACAATGCCCTTTTGCAAAGTATGAGGTAGAAAATCCTTACATTTATATTTTAATGTCATAAACATTTAATTAGAACCTGCTAAATAATATACTTACATGTTTTTATGTAAGAAAGTAGCAGAAATAGTCTTTATGCTAGTTGTTATCTTTCACTAGTCTGTAGTCAGCAGATTGCCACCAAGGTTTAATGGCATAACAATTTAGGGCTCCTTAAGAACATAACTACACTACTATTTTATTATTCCAAAGAAGCTTATAATATGGTAGTTTAACATAAGGAACAATTAGACAAAATGGTACTGAAATCTCTCAAAGGAAACAGATTTTCCTTTGTGAGGAATCCCAATTAGAAATGGAAAAAGATATTACATTTCCTATAAGATGGAACGTTTAAAATATGTTAACATTTAAATAAAACTAATAAAACTACTTTGTATTGATAGCTACCTATATACTGATATGTCCATATATTTATTATGAATTTGTTTATATTACAAATGCTCATGAAATAAAGTAACTATTTTAACTTAAAATGTATCCACTGTAAATGTGAACTTCTTTGGTTATATTTATATTTACCAGTTTTAAAAGTATATTTTAAGAGTTAAGAATGGTTACAAAATGTTTTCAATAATTTCTCAATTCTCTTTATCAAGATATTGCTATAAATGGTATCAATTGCTTTCTGAATTTTAAAACTTTCCATTAATTAATTAAATGAATGCCAAATTTTATTAACAATTTAATTTTATTTAAATCACTTCTTCTCTTCTTCTAAGTAGCATTCACTGGGGAAACTGCTCAACCCCCCAGTGAAAGCTCTGCTTCTAAGCTCACATGCTGGAGATTTCAGCCCTGTCAGATTTATCTCAGGGCTGCAATTCCAGGTGGATACAAGCTGAAACAACACTATGGAGCCACAAATACTTTGATGACATGCTTTTTTCTCTAAGAACTGCCTCTGGTGCCTTCTCTCCCATGGTACACAAGCCAAAAGATTTCCTGTTCATTGATTCCTTGCTAGAAGACACCCTGGCATTGTAAAGGGGAAAAGTGTCCTTCACCAACACAATTTTATCTCTAGTGGGTCAGTCCAGAAAGACTGGAAAAGTAAACTATACTTTCACAATTTAAAAGAAAAAGAATTGCTATATGAGGAAAAAATTGAAAAGTATGACAATGCATATAAACAGGTAATCAGAAGAGGTGGTTTAAATGAAGCTGAAATAATTTCATCCACTAAATGATATCATAAAGCCAAATTCCTCAAACTAGTAATTTTTATGTTAGAACTGCCAAAAGAAAGGCTATATATAGAAAAGATAATTTTTAGAAGTACTAGTATGGAAGCATTTGGTTGTATTTCCATCTAGCATAGGTTTCTAAAGTGGCAGATACCTCCCCCTGGAGGGTGCCAGGGTAATCCAGTTGGGCAGTAGGAGTCTCGGGTGCAATTGGGTGGCATTGAATAAAAATAAGGGGGTGATGGAAGCATAAGGAAAGAAGAGAAAATAAGAAAATTTTGCAAAACCATTCATACATGTTTCATCTGTTGTGTAACAGAGTTAAAGTCGTAATGATTACATTATTTTCCAAATAAACACACAAAATACAAGTTACAACCAATCAGTGGTCAAGTCCACAAGCAAATGTTGGCAGGCAAGCAAGCTGCACATTGTCAGGAAGTTCAGCATGCATTGGCAGGAATATGCGTATGTAATGACTTGTTTACAATACGATGCTATATGGTTATATGATGCAGTACTGTGTCATCAAAATTTCAATGCAGGAAAAAAAAACACAAATTTACAATAAATGATTAAATTTAAGATGTGTCATTTTTTGAAATGATACAAATTTTTTTAAAAGTGTTAAAGTGTTAAAGAAAATAGATTTCCAGAGGGATGCTGAGTAACTTTTTTAAAGGGGGTAGTAGGACAAATGAGTTTGGGAACCTCTGATCTAAAGGGACCACTTAAGTGTAAAGTGCCTATTTGTCAGTCACGGAATAATCAATTACTATTTTTGGTTCTTCTACCTTTTGGGGCATTTTCAGTTGAGCAGAGACCAAAAAGTGGTTTCACTCACTCATGACTCAAGGTTTGGATTGTTATTGTTCCTTTTCAATTTCTTAAAGTCTCTATAGAAATGCCATTGGTGGAATGGCAAAGATGTAATGTAAATAATTTTCTTTTGCTTGTATGGCTGGCCTAAACTGAGATATGCTCTACAATATACATTTACTATGTACCAAAATTTTGATTTAGAATTTGAAAATGATCTCTAATTTTTCTTAATAGATATTACCCTAAAGAATAATCAATACTGGAAAGTGATTTTTGTTCTTATAATAATTTTGCCATAGACTTTCCAAGAAGAGGGTAAAAGTTGATTAGAGCCATATGGTATTTAGCAATAGTAGGAATTAAATATTCTATCCCCAATTCAATTCAACAAGCATGCATCAATCACCTACTATATGCAAGACGCTGTGGCTACAAAGACAAAATGAAAATCACTCCAACTTTCACTAAGCTTACACTTCAACTATTTTTGATGATTATAACTTACTGTGGTTATTGAGATAGCTGTTTTTCAATTACAGAACTCACTATAGAAATATCTTCATTCTCCATTTAATGGCTACATATTTCATTCACCTATATACGCACATGGGGCAGCTAGGTGGTACAGTGGATAGAATGCCAGGCCTAGAATCAGGAAGACCCAAGTTCAAATCTGGCCTCAGACACTTACTAGCTGTGTGAACCCAGGCAAGTCATTTAGCCCTCATTTTCCTTATGTGTAAAATGAGCTGGAGAAGGAAATGGCAAACCAGTCCAATATCTTTGCCAAGGAAACCTACAAAAGGGGTCATGAAGATTCAGATACGACTGAAACAACTAAACAATGACAAAAAGACACAATCACAGGCACACACAATGCCAGTGCAATGTGTTTCTGTGCATGTATACATATATATACAGATATGTATATATATACTATAATACATATATAGAAAACATGTACTATAATATATATGTAATATATACATGTGCAGATGTATATATATACACACATATATGTATATATATGTGTGTATATATATATATGTACACACGTCAGAATAGAATAATAGCCCTGAAATACAAGGAATTTTAAGTATAATTTTAAAATCATAGGATCATGAAATCATAAATTTAGTGGTGCAAGGGACTTGAGCATCCAACCTATGAGGGCCAGAAGAGTAAATTGACTTGCCAAGGGTTTTACAAGTATTAAGTAGCATAGGCAGAATTTGAATCCATGTCCTCTAACTGCAAATTAAGACCTTTTTTGCACTTGACCAGTATACTGCTGTGCCCAAATATTAAAAAATCTTAAGCTATGAAAGTTCTTTTTCAAAAACTGTTGCTTAATCATTCAGTCATATCTGACTCTTCATGAACCCATGAACCATAGCATGCCAGGACATTTTATTCTTCACTATCTCTCAAAATCAGTCCAAGTTCATGCTCTTTGTAAACACATGCTCTGCTAAAATCAGTGTAAACAATATCTTCAGCATTCTTTCCTTCTTTAAATCTATGTTCATCATTCACTTCCCACATAAAGACATCTGAGTCTAAACCACTGATCCCAATCCTACCTCAACAGACTTCTCATCCTGCAACTCTCCTCAATGCCTGTGGCCTTCCCACTTCAAAACATTCTTCCACCTCTGCAGGCCCCTTCTCTCATTGTTGAGTTCCTCTTTGTGGTTGTTTAGTGGTGTCTGACTCTTCGTGACCCCATGGACCACAGCACACTAGGCTCTTCTTTCCTCCACTCTCTCCCTAAGTCTGTCCAGGTTTTTTCCAGGTTTTTTGGTTATTTCCATGATATTACCTAACCATCTCATCCTCTGCTGTCCCCTCTTCTTTTGGCCTTCAATTTTTTCCAACATCAGAATCTTTTCCAATGAGTCCCATCTTCTAATTATGTGGCCAAAGGATTTAAGCTTCAACTTCAGTATTTGGCCTTCCGATGAATAGCCTGAATTAATTCCTTCAAGTGTTAACTGATTTGATCTTCCTGTTGTCCAAGGAACTCTCTAATGAAGGAATTCTAAAATGTTGATTCTGTGGCACTCAGCTTTCCT